ATCCTGTAGAAAATATCGAAATTATATTCTTTATCCATTCTTAAAATTGAATAAAAATAGCTTTATTTAAGTGGAACAAAACCTGATTAACTCTAACTTTTGCATAAAATTATATATATGAAAAGATTGAAATAAATTATAAAATAAATAACTTCTTGATCAGCATCGTACGTGTTAGTAAATTACCTGAAGAAAACAAACAAATTATACGTCGAATAACACTAGTGATAATATATTTACACTTATACCATCCTTCATATGTATTTAACGTCTTGTGTGATTCAACAGTATAAGTGTAAATATATTATTACTAGTGTTATTAGACGTATAATTTGTTTTTTTTCAGATAAATTATAAAAGTATAAAATAAAGGGGGGAGTTTCACAGAAAGAAATGTTCTATATCAAACATTCAGGAGGTGAGCCGACATGGGTCTGTATAAAGCTCATATTCTACCAATGACTTAATGTATTAAAAAACTAAGATTTATAGAAGATTTTTAAGATTAATAGATGTTTTAAATTAAACAAAAAATTGTTATTTATTCAGGCAAAGTTAGGGCCACATGGCCCTTTCTTTTTTAATACTACACTAGCTGCTGTACCCGTGCTTCGCAACGGAGAGGACACGGAAGCGAAAACTATGATCTTTAAGCCTGTTGTATAAAATAGTTACACATTCCCCTTTGGTTTCAGGAACATAGCTCAATTTAAACTCTTAGTTTGAAAAATATCTTTCTTTAAGGCTATGCTAACTTATAAGACGAATGATATGATGCGCTGATGCATGTATGGAAATAATGTTCCTTTTCGAAATTTTCAAATAATAAGCTTACTTAAACATTAATTTCGTTAAAAAACGTACATATAAAGTAAAGAAGGAAAAATAATCACATCAACACATGCACTGTAGTAAAGCAAAAAACAGTTTATATTGATATCACATATAATTTATATGTTTCACCCTATACTACTAAGATTTTTTCAAAGTTCAATCTTTACATGCAGATCAGTGTGTATGTATCACAATAATGAGCAAAAATAAACTAATGGAAAACTTGTATTACCTTTTATTACAAAGCCTAACTATTACTAATTACAATTAACTAAGTTATTAACTATTATTGTTAATCAGGGCACAGATTTCACCAATTTAAATATTTAAATATAGTTTAACAACATAGTACATAACAGTTATTATTTTAACTTGTTCCATAGCTTAAAACATTAGGTAAAGAAACATAGTTACGTTACAGATATTTAATTGACTTAAAACAAAAGTGAATTGCGTGCAGCTTATTTTTGTGATATTCTCTATGGTGAAATTAAAGCAGTGTTGTAAAACACAACTACTAAGGAGGTTTCTGTAAATAAATGCAAAAAGGCGAATGTGAAGTAGATTATAGAGAAAATATAAGTAGTAGTTACCACTGGACAGAATAAAATTAAGTATAATTGAAATTTGGTTTGTAAATTAAATTCAAACTCAAATTAAAGTGTAAATATCGAATAGTAAAATTTTTAAAACTCCCTAAATATTTCTCTTAGTTTTTAAAACCTATTAAATCCTAATCCAAACATTTGTTGATCAGTTCAAATTTTTAAACAAAAAGCTACCATATCAAAATTATTAAAAAACCATTTATACATTGTAATGATCGTTCTGTTTCCATTAAAATAATGTTCTTAAAAACCATAATTAAACTATTCTTATAATCATAAAACTTTATATTCATGGGAGCAGAACCTGTACCTCTTAACATCTGCTGTTTCAACTGTCAAATTTTAGTATTAACAGCTGACTTCAATTAATCTTCTCAATCGGTACAGTGGTTCTTGCGTTATTGGGTAACAGACAGACATACAAACACACACCATCTCATTTTTAAATATTAGTATAGATTACTGTAACAACGTTATTACCATTTCTAGATTTTTGAATTATAATTTATATGAGCTCAATAATTGAACCCAAGCAACTTTGAGAGGATGATGTAAAGATCTTATTATTCAAGAAATATGTGTAAAGGGTGTATAAAAAACAGCTCACACTCGGTGGCACAGATCATCTCACCCGTAGCTCAACTAGCATATACTATTTTACCTATACAGTAAATAATAATAAATAGTAAATATTAAATAGTAAACAGTAAATAATAATAAATAGTAAATATTAAATAGTAAACAGTAAATAATAATATAGTAAATAATCCACCTTTAAGGGTAGATAGGGGGTAACTGAAAATGTTCATTTTAACGGTTTGAATTAGTAGAATACAATGCTAAAGTTTAAACTCAAACGGATAACCAAGTCAAAGATGGCAGCCATTCAAAGACATATGTTTTATTAAATTGCCAAAATAATCAAATTATATAAGAATCAGTTACACTTAAGACACCTGCACACATAAGAATAGTTTTACATACAATTAAAAATAAATTTTTATTGCTTACAAATAACACCATAAGTGCCAGATGAAAAAAAAGCTTACTCTGTTTCGATATTTTGCTAAAATAAACTGTAGTTTGTTCAAAAGATTTTGTGTTAGTTAAAATATGAATTTTTAAAAACGATTTCAAGCATTTTTCCCCTTCATAAACCTTTATTTTGTTCAAGTAAATAGAATGAATGTATGGTTTTATTTAATGTTATATGATTCTTCAAACAGCTTATAAATGCAGATTACTTTCAACATTTAATACACTTAAATGTCGAAGGTATATCTCCATTATGAATCAATAAATTTCTCCTTATTTCAAATTTGGTTTCAAAGGATTTTCCAAATGAAGTGCACTTACTTAAGTCTCTCTCTTGAATGAATCCTTGCAATATTTGTCTTCATAACGGTGTTAGACGCAAAGAATTGTCCACGTGTAGTGCACTTGTAAGGTATCTTTTATGTGTGAACCAATGAATGTCTCTTCATTTTGCTCTTAGTCAAGAAGGAATTTCCACATGTAGAACACTTATAAGGTCTCTCTGCTGTATGAACCATTGCATGGTTCTTAAAGTAGCCTTTTGATGCAAAGGATTTTCCACATGTAGTGCAAGTATGAGGTCTCTCTCCTGTATGAACTAATGCATGTGTCTTCAAGTAGCCTTTTGATTCAACCTTAATTCTGTTTAAGTTTAGTTTTTAGTTCATTTAAATGACTAGCTGTTGTACCCGTGCTTTGCAACGGGAAGAGGACACAAAATAGAAACATTTTAATCTTTCCATTTGTTGCATATAATAGTTACACATCCGCCAACGCTTTTAGAAACAAAATTCAACTTTTATAGCCTTAATAGAAACGTTTAAGTTATATGACTTTTAAATCTGGTAAGTAGTGGATACCACCATTTTGGTTTTGATTAATTTTAAATCTTGTGTAGGCTGATATGAGAAAAACTTACCAAATCTTAGAATAAAACATTGACATACATGATTTACCTTCATCTTACATATCTTTTAATTTATTATTGACATTATAAAATTTCAATTTTGAAGTTGCAAAAATACTAACTATTAAATTTAAATGAACATTTTTTTTTTAATTTCACTCTTCTTTATCTTTATATTAAATCACAAATCCTTCCATCTTCAGTTTCTTCACTCACAATAAATCATTAGCAAAACTAAGTCAGCTGTTATAAACTTTAGAAATATTGCTGTGCCTTATCAATACAGTTTTTTGAAATATTAAAGAAACTATATCTATAGGTACTATAAAAAATTTTAAACAAATAATTTAGCATTAAAGACAGCAGACAAAACTAATATGATTATCAAAGCATCAAGGACTAAAAAATTTAATAGCAAATACAGTACCTATATGCTTCATTGCATCTCTGATTCTACTCTACAAAAATATCAACAAACAACTTAATATACAAACTCGTTTTTTTAAATAGTTCCATCGTCCATTGCCTTTACATTTTCACACTTACCATTAAGTAAACATAGTAACAGATATTTAATTGATTTTAGAAACAAAAGAACACTGTGTACTGCTTAGTTTTATGATAGTTTCCTTGGTTTGATTTAATCAGTGGTGTGGCAAAACACAAATAATAAATGTATCAAATAAAGTAAATGTGAACTGAAAGCTATGTTAAGATAAAATAAGAGTATTTTGTATTAGCATTTGATAATTAAATATAGTTACATACAACAGATTTTAGAAAACAAAAATCAACGTACAATTTAGTTATTGATGATATTCTTTAGTTTAATTTAAGCATAGGTTTAGCAAAACACAATAACTTAATTTACCTAAATATACACATAAAAAACAATGTGATGTGCAAGTTATGTTAAGTTAATCCAACACATGTTAAGCAGTTAGAACTTACTTAAAGTAGCCTACAAATTCATATAAAACATCTATACTTTGTAATTTTAATACTGTTTCCATGAAAACATACCAATAACATTATTTTCATAACTTAGACGCTTTAAAAAATCCAAAGCAGAGCCGGAGTTGATACAGCAACGGTTATAGAATCTTTTTTTCTCTATAATCATTGACATAGTTTTAGAATAAATAATCCATGATAAAAGGTTAGATTAAAATAAACCTATCTCATAGTTATGGAAAATATTATATTTAATTTCTTTGTATCAGCTGTCTGAAATTGTGAAATATGCAGTTAAGCAGTTCCTCTTGTTTACATTTAAATGTCAAAGCAAAATATGTAAACAAACATTGTTAGTGTTCTCATCACAGCCATGGAGACCAATCAATATTTACTTTTAAAATGTTCACCTCAGAACTTGTAAAGCCAAAGAAGCAAATCCTACGGCCAGTATCGAAATGTGAATAGTCCTATAATGGTCCTTGGTATGGTAGCTATATTTTTGTATAATTTCAGCCCAGTTGGTTCAGTAGTTTTTGCACCTATTAGTAATACACATACAGACAGACACCATTAGATTTTTATATAATAGTATAGATTACTGTATATTGAATGAATGCATAGTTTCATTAAATGTTATATTATTCTTCAAACAGCTTATAAATGCAGATTATTTTCAACATGCAATACACTTAAATGTTAAAGGTATATCTCCATTATGAATCAATAAATTTCTCCTTATTTCAAATTTGGTTTCAAAGGATTTTCCAAATGAAGTGCACTTATATGGCCTCTTTCCTGGACGAACTAATACATGTGTCTTCAATTTGTCTTTTGATGGAAAGGATTTTCCGCATGTAGTGCAATTATAGGGTCCCTCTCCTGTATAATTCAATGAATGTCTCTTCAATTTGTCTTTTGATGCAAAGGACTTTCCACATGTAGTGCACTTGTAAGGTCTCTCTTGTATGAACCAATGAATGTCTCTTCATTTTGCTCTTAGAGACGAAGGATGTTTCACATGTAGTGCACTTATAAGGTCTCTCAACTATATGAACCATAGCATGTGTCTTCAAGTAGCCTTTTGATGTAAAGGATTTTCCACATGTAGTGCACTTATACCACCTCTATCCTGTATGAACCAATAAATGTCTCTTCATCTCACGTTTCGCTTTAAAGGACTTTCCACATTTATAACAAGTATGAGGTCTCTCTCCTGTATGAACCAATGAATGTTTCTTCAAGTTATATTTATATATAAAGGATTTTCCGCATGTAGTGCAATTATAGGGCCTCTCTCCTGTATGATTCAATGAATGTCTCTTCAATATGTCTTTTAATGCAAAGGATTTCCCACATGTAGTGCACTTATAGGGCCTCTCTCCTGTATGAACCAATAAATGTCTCTTCATTTGACTCTTGTGCACAAAGGATTTTTCACATGTAGTGCACTTATAAGGTCTCTCTCCTGTATGAAACAATGCATGCATCTTCAAGTTGCGGTTTGATGCAAAGGATTTACAACATGTAGTGCAATTATAGGGCCAGTCTCCTGTATGAAACAATAAATGTTGCTTCATTTCATATTTGGTTGCAAATGATTTTTCACATGTACAACACTTGAAAGGTCTCTCTCCTGTATGGACCAATGAATGTCTCGTCATATTGTTCTTAGACGCAAAGGATTTGTCACATGTAACGCACTTATAGGGTCTCTCTCCTGTATGAACCAATGAATGTGTCTTCAAGTGTACTTTTAATGCAAAGAATTTTCCACATGTAGTGCACTTATGGGGCCTCTCACCTGTATGAACCAAAAAATGATTCTTCATCGCATTTTTCGTTGTAAAGGATTTTCCACATGTAGAACAAGTATAAGGCCTTACTCCTGTATGAACCAATGCATGTATCTTCAAACTTTCTTTCGATGCAAAGAATTTTCCACATGAAGTGCACTTATATGGCCTCTTTCTTGTATGAACCGTTGCATGTTTTTTTAGGTGGTATATTGATGCGAAGGATTTTCCACACGTAGTGCACTTATAAGGCTTATAAGGTCTCTCTCCTGTATGAACCATTGCATGTGTCTTTAAGTAGACTTTTGATGTAAAGGATTTCCCACATGAAGTGCACTTATAGGGCCTCTCACCTGTATGAACCAAAAAATGACTCTTCATCACACGTTTCGATGTAAAGGATTTTCCACATGTAGAGCAAGTATAAGGTCTCTCTCCTGTATGAACCAATGCATGTGTCTTCATATTGCCTATTTGTGCAAAGGATTTTCCACACGAAGAGCACTTGTAAGGTCTCTCTCCCGTATGAACCGATGAATGTTTCACCATATCGGTTTTGGATATAAAGGATTTTCCACATAAAGTACACTTATAAGGTCTCTCTTTAGTATGAACCATTGCATGTCTCTTTAAATGGCCTCTTGTTGCAAAGGATTTTCCACATGTAGTGCACTTATAGAACCTCTCTCCTGTATGAACCAATGAATGTGTCTTCATATTGCCTATTTGTGAAAAGGATTTTCCACATGAAGAGCACTTGTAAGGTCTCTCTCCCGTATGAACCAATGAATGTTTCACCAAATCGGTTTTGGATATAAAGGATTTTCCACATTCATTACACTTATAAGAACACTTCCTAATGTGTACCAACAAATGACGCTTTACATTGTTTAGTTGTAAAAAGGTTTTCTCACATATCAAACATTTAAAAGGGCGTTCTCCAGTGTGATGTAACATATGAACCTTCATGGTAAATAGAGTTGGACAGATTTTCTCACATATTAGACACTTGAGAGGAAAGTTTTTAGTGTGAGTTGACTTATCTAGTCTTGCACGTTTTATGTCTGTGAAACTCATCACGTAAATCTGCTACGTAATCAAGAAAGTAAACAAATCAGAGGAGTTTGAATGGATTTTAAGTAGTAAACTTGTGCTGAAGGACTTCTTAAATGTATAACAGATACATTATAGGCTACTGTTCTCATTTGACATTGAATCTTCTTGTAGTCAAATCTTGCTATGCATGTTAGGTATTTTACAATACTCTTGAGTTAATTTCCTTCTTCTCTTGTTTCTCTGAATTCTTCTATTGCATTATATAAATTTATCATAATTATCTCTTTTTTTTGGTTCCTTTTCTGTCTCAACCTACAACAAAAAAGTGCAATATAATTTAAATTCTAGTTTAACAAAATTAATTACTGTATTTATTGTGTTTAAGGGAAACATAACATCTAGAGCGGTTCTTTAAAGTATTAAATCATGGTTGTCTTAATCTTCTTTTGCTTAAATTAGATTATTTTTTCTTATGTCTGTTTTTCATCTGTTTCCCTTTTGAATATCATACTTAATTAAAAACATTTATTAATCCATTTACATAGTATAATATAGTAGGCTAGTATAATATAATAATATATACATATAATAATTATAGGTATAAATATTAAATATATACATTTTTCTATTGTATATCATGCGAGTTTAATAGTGTCCAGGATACGAGAACCCCATCAAAGATCAAATAAGTTAGGAGCCTAACACTGCCTAAAGAGCTAATGACTGCCAAAGAGATTTTTTTCCTTTTCACGTAACATTGCTCAAGTTCACGTTATCCCTTGCGTGAGAAAATAATTGGGTATCTTGAAACCGAAAATGGACATCCATTCAGGTTCAGGGAGTAGCCAAAACGTTAGTAAGGACAAATAGTATCGGTACATTAAACCCACAAATTAAGCCTATTTTAGTAGCTTTGGTGGATTATTCATACAGGTCTGTAACAAAAAGGATAGGGTTTTCAATAGTGTGTACTTCTAGGATAAATGTATAAAAATGTTTGGCATGGTATGCTGCGTGAAGTATTGGCAGTAGTGCTGTTTGTTGTCTTGGTTTGCAGTGATTATTGTTTCCATTAAAAGTATGAGGTATAGAATTAAGTTAAAACTGTTTGACAGTGCTTATTGTAAATAGATGGCTGAAATAAATCTTAAATCTAGATTCTTAGCCTTAAAAACCTATTCTGTAAAAACAAACTTGTAATACTGCAATGGTTTCACATTGTTCTATAATTATTTTTTATTTACGGGTTTTCAAAAAATTGTAATCTGATCGTTTAATTGGTTGTTGTAGTAACAACTAAGATCGATTCTTATGAGGCCTAAAAGGTGTCATCAAGTAATCGCATAATTTAAAGGTCGTCATCAGAGCTTATTAAAAGACACGACACGCGGAAACATTAAACACACTTTTACAAAAACAGAAAACAAACGAAGGCGCAAAATACATTAATCCTGAGGCAAAACTATTATTTTTCTTATCACTTGTGAATGTGAGACTACAGCGAAGCTTAATACGACTTTATTGCCACTTGCCAATCAAATAATTATTAACCTAGTTTTAGAGCAAGCCTCCTGCCACAGGGTTGCAGTACCGATCACAGATGCATTAACGCTACATACCGTCACACATTGGTACCCACTGTACCGTTCTAATCAGTAGAATGTTGTTCAATCAATAATTTTACTCTATTAACTATCATTGTTTTGTACAGTATGTTTAAGTTTCATTACTGAGTTTCAGACAGAACATTTTATTTTTAGACCTTAATTTGAACAACGTTGAACAAACAGCTAAAGCTAATTTTATGCAGTAGCTACTCAAGCTGTAAAACATATTTAATTACCACAGATCTAGAAATCTGCAGGCAACAGTACCATTTTTTGACGGGATTTCGTAAAGATTTTACTAATTTCCCGTTGCAGAAACAATGCGTTAATGTTTTTATTCTATAATCAATGGCCTTAATGTAAATACCTTGAACTATGGAAAGGGTAAATAAACATATTAACATAATAATAAACATATTGTTTTTGCAACAGGGAATGAACCTGACATTTCTAAGGAAATATGTTTGTGAAAATTAAATATAGCCTAATGACATTCCCTATGATGCCCCATCCATATAAGGGAGATTATCTATTTAACACTGGAGGTCGTCCTGTGGTTAAAATCTCGGTCAATAATATCTGTGTTTATATTTTAAATAGAATAACTAAGTTATTATAAAAATATGCATATTGACTAGCATCTTAGCGACAAGTTCAAAAAAGTTTAATAACTTTTTAACACAATTGTAAAAAACTTGGAAAAAATTAATGAAGGGAACTAAAAAATGTGATTTCTTCTTAAATAGAGACAAAGAAAGCCAAAAGATTTATGAGATTGCTTATACCACATTAGGCTTACAATTTATGATAAATAATTGATTTGCAGTCATTGAAAGCTTCCCAAGTCTACCTCTATATTACTTAACGCTCAAGGGTGGGGCTGGGCGTTACATGTCCTTAGAGGAGGGGGGAGGGGTTTTCAATACCGTTATGGTAATGCACAAATCTGTTTTCTTAAAGTGCGAAAATGATTAAACTATTTAAGAATTAGTCACACTTAAGACACCTATACACATAAGAACAGTTTTACATACAATTGTTGATTCTTTAAAAATAAAGTTTTATTGCTTACAAATAACACTTTGTGTCAGATGAAAAAAGTGCTTTAGTGGGTTGTAACAACATAACAGGCAAGTTATAACGAGAAATATGTTTTATTTTATTAGTTCAAGTATTGAAAAAAAAACATTATACAACCTACACTCTGTGACCTACAAGATGCTTAGCTTATGCTGTTTAGATATTTTGCTAAAAAAAACTGTATAGTTTGTTCTACAAATTTTGTTTAATTTAAAACATTAAATAAAAAAACAATGTTAAGCAATTTTTCCCCTTCATAAACCTTTATTGTATTCAAGTTAGTTTTTAGTTCATTTAAATGAATAACTGTAAATTGAATGAATGTATAGTTTTATTTAATGTTATATGATTCTTCAAAGGGCTTATAAATGCAAGGTATATCTCCATTATGAATCAATAAATTTCTCCTTATTTCAAATTTGGTTTCATAGGTTTTTCCACATGACGTGCACTTATGCGGTCTCTCTCCTGTATGAATCCTTGCAATATGTGTCTTCATAACGGTGTTAGACGCAAAGAATTTTCCACATGTAGTGCACTTGTAAGGTCTCTCTTATGTATGAACAAATGAATGTCTCTTCATATCGTTCTTAGAGGCAAAGTATTTGTCACATGTAGTGCACTTATAAGGTCTCTCGCCTGTATGAACCAATGAATGTGTCATCATCACATGTTTGGTTGTAAAAAATGTTCCACAAGTAGAGCAAAAGGTCTCTCGCCTGTATGAACCAATGAATGTGTCATCATCACATGTTTGGTTGTAAAAAATGTTCCACAAGTAGAGCACTTATAAGGTCTCTCGCCTGTATGAACCATTGCATTTGTCTTCAAGTAGTCTTTTGATGCAAAGGATTTTCCACATATATTGCACTCATAAGGCTTCTCTCTTGTATGGACCATAGCAATATGATATAGAGCTTTTAAATGCAAAGAACTTTTCACAAGTAGTGCACTTAAAAGGTCTCTCCCCCGTATGAACCTTTGTATGCTCCTTCATATAGCTTTGGAATTGAAACGATCTACCACATATAGTACACTTCGATGTAAAGGATTTTCTCTCTCCTAAATGAATCAATTTAGTATGTCACTGCATAACGTCTTTAGACGCAAAGGACTTTTGAAGAGAATGTTTACAGTTTTATTATCATTCAGGATTAACTAGTTTGTTTGCACTTTAACAAACGTTGCAGCAATCTTTTAATGTACTAAGCTGCTCTAAAACGTGATTGACATTTAAATTTTAAACTCACACACTCTTAAACTTGCATGATATACAACAGAATAACGCATAACCTAATATATTTCATATTTATACCTATAAATGTTATACAGTGAGTAAATTAAGACTTGAAACAAATCTGTATTATTAAAACTGAAATAGATAAAAATATTCTGTTTGTAGTATTGATTCTTAAAACATGTTCCACTATTTTTTACACAAAAAAAATTGTATAACCCCCCCTAACAGGGTAGGGGGTAGGGGTTGACTTATTTTTTCAAATAGCAACCTCTATTGAGTGACCCCTCATTTTGAAGGGCTTGTCAAAAAAAAACACAATGACGCAAATCCGAGGTGAATATCTCACCCCTAGCCAAAATGGCGGTTATTCCAAAATGGGTGCTTTTTCACATAAATCAAATCTGTAGTAAGTTTATCGTTGATTAAGTATGGGTCCTTACTCAGGAATTGATTATGGTTTACATTTTTTATTATTTTTATTAACCTTTTCAAAATATAATGTTAAGTTAAGTTTTTAGAGGAATACATAACTTATTTGAAGACCAAGCTGGAAGTAATAATATGGTCATATATGATTTTTGTGTTGATGGTTTTGATTTATATACAGACATGGTTTTCACTAAAAAAGCGCACCCTTGACAAAGCCACAAATACTGAATGTGAAAAAACTGGGCTCTGGCAAGTACAATTCTTCCTTCGTAAACGACTGACGACTGTCCAGAGCCCATGTGTCTAGTGCCTTTTTTAAAGTCGTAACATGACAAAGATAACTTTCAAGGGAAATTCCTTCTTAGTCAGTTTGAAAGAATTACGGACTATTGCGTAGTATGGCCGGAGTCAGGCAAAACAAACAGTTTGTTTTTCTTACTGTAAATAGAGATTAGTATTTCATTTACCATTATAAGCAATACCCCCGCTGCTGCAAACGTGCACGCTAAGCAAATTTACCTTATTGGATTTTCAATTAAATCTATTTAAATGACATTAGGTTGAACAAGTATCTACGTTTGCTTTAACAGAGATGGTAATGTAGTGTGTTTTTTTTAGTACAATATCCAAATTGTATTATAAAATAGATAACTGTGCCAAGTTTGATCAAAATATATAATAACATCGGAATTTTAAATTTACACCTTTTTTATTTTTCTCTGTAACTAATAACCATACAAAAACATCAATGTACAAAATTATTTTTTAAGCTCGGCTGCATTGTTTGGAGATAATTCGAAAATTTTTTGTTATCAAAGTAAAAAATGGGAAAATCAAATTTTTCATGCATAAAACCCCGTTCCCATTGTACGATAATGCTGGTTCACAAACTCATTCAAGTTTGTCCTGCCCCAGGGAAATTTAACCAAAATCAGGAAAGGATTAACACTGTACCCACGCGGTGATCATCTATGCAGATAGTCTATCCACATTACACTTAGTCGACCAGTTGATGTGAACATAGAATGAACTTAATTTTTAAATCAATTCTTATGTTATTTTTATGGAGAATAAGTAAATTAGTTTGCTTGTTTACGGATAATGTATTTTGATCCAATTTACTTAAGCTGTTAAATAATAACTATTAATATTCCACTCAAATACTTCGTTACCTTCCCTGCAGCAGAAAACTTAAGTACTCAGTAAAAATATAGAAATTAATGAATATTGCAAATAATTTATTCCATCAAAAACACAATAATTGTTACAAATAGTTGTACGGACATATGGGTTATTCCATAATAATAAACATAATGTTTTTGCAACAGAGGATGAATCTGACATTTTTAAGGAAATATGTTTGTGAAATTCAATGTAGCCTAATGACATTCCCTATAATAACCCATCCATATAAGGGAGGTTATTTATTTAGTATTAGAGGTTGTCCTGTGATCGAAATCTCGGTAAAAAATATCTAATGTACAGATGTAAAATAAAACAACTAAGTTATTATGAAAATATGCCTATTGTCTAGCTTTTTAGCGGCAAGATCAACAATTGTTAATAACTTTTTAACACAATTGTAAATAACTTGAAACAAATTGATAGTGGAAGACGACTTTAATGTTTCCTTGACCATGCGCAATATTCTAGGTTTTGACGTTTTTGCAGAAGACAGTGATGACGTTTCTTTTTGCGTGGGACCGGAGATATAATCTAGAATTGTGCTGCAATTGCAGAAAAAATGTTTCCTTCACCGTGGGGCATTAGGGATATTAGGGATTGGGCCACAAACAAGGGAGACGATGATGCTGTTATCTGATGATGTCCTAGGGTTTGTTGCAATCACGGTAGATTATAATAATGATTCCATGGCTACAAGAAGTATTCACGATATGATGAAGCCTTGGTGCCTCGGGAGATGCCGTGCCAAGCAAAAATGCAAGTTTAAAATACCTCAGATAATGTTATTAAAGATTATTGGTAGAGGGGGGCCCGGTGAACAAACTTGCAGTGGGACCCGTGAGCTCTTATCGCCACCACTGTTCCATATCTAAAATATATAAAAGAGTAATGTACAAACGTATTGTAGATTATTTGGTAAATAGGCTAATTACTTTTTAAATGACGAGTAACATGACAAGCCTATAACTACTGGTTTAATGGATTTTACAGACACTATAATTGACAAAGAAAATAAAGTAATTGGTATTTTTTATGGACCTTACAAAAGCTTTTGACAGTATCTCACACAATATACTTTTTAATAAATTGCAAAATTTGGGTATAACAGAACAGAACGTTATATGCATTGGTTTGAATCAAATCTCTTTAACAGAAGACAGTATGTTGAGATTGTGTCTGAAACAACTGGTCAACCTTAAAAAATACCTTTAAAATAATAAGAATCAAACCTGGAGTTCCGCAAGGACCTTTGTTGTGTTTGTTGTTGTGTGTTTGTGTTGTGGATTCTTGGACCTTTGTTATACTTGTTCTATGTACAAGGAACTTCTTATAATATGTAATAAGGAACTTATTATTAATAAGTTTTAATGGTATCAATAGCAGGTTAGTTCTGAATGCTGACGATTTAACTGTTATAACATCATCTAAATCTTATAATGATTTTGAAATAGTGTGTAATGAATAATTAAAATGTTTTTAATATTATTTCTCTAAAAACAGTATTTTTTTATTTATCAAGAAGAAACAAATAGCATTTTCTTCTTACTAAAACTTATAAATAAAACAGTGCAAAATAAAGACAATCCGGAAATGTCCATATCAATAGAGCAAAGTCAAGAAGAGACAATAAACTTTCCACAAAATTTGTATGTTTATGTTAGTGGACTTAACCATTTGAATTAGAATTTACATATTCTAAATTTACCAAACAAAATTTCTTCAGCATTTTTAGTCTTAAAAACATTAAAATGTATTTATTTTGCACATTTACAAAAACGTCTGTCATATAATCGTCATATAATCTATATATCTATGGGGTACTAGTGCACAAAACCTAGATAAAATACATGAACTTGAAAAAATCACTGCGAATAATGTTAAACCAAGACCTAAAACATCTGTAAGAAACCACTTTTCACAATTAGATATTCTAACTGTCTATGACCAGTATATTTAAGAATGCATTATTTCCGCCAAAAGTAAAATTCATAAGTACCGGTACCTTTGTGATTCGCAAAGATATACACACATATAATACAAGAAAAATATATCAAATAGACGTGCCCCGGCATAGCCTTGCATTTTTCTCATAGAAAGCCAACACATATTGGATCAAAATTTCTTAATTCCAAATTGACAAATTTATCCAAATTTCCAAATTTATCAAATTTCCATCCAATCTGAAAACTAGTATACATAGAGATTAAGAAATTTAGAAGATTTCTTTTAATAGCTCTATCAATCTATCAAATTATCTTTACTAAAAAGATTATATTCCATAATAAAAGGAAAAAACTAGTTTACAAGATCTTGGGAGGGAAATTAATAAACTTGTCTTATAGTTTTAGACCCCTCGTTATTTAGCCAACAAAAAGAGTAAAAAAAAAGTTAAAAACTATAGTTCTTGTTAAATTAACACAATCAATATTACTGATAAAGGGTTGTATTTCACAGATTTATCCATTGTTTTAAATAAAATAAGAAACTTAATGTACTTTTGGTGTTTTTTTTCTTTCTGTGACTCTATTCATGTATGAATGTACAGCTTAAATAAAGATGATTTTATTTGATTTGATTTTAATTTGATACAGGTTATAAATCAAAACGATTATAAACATGTAGTGCACATGTAAGAACTCTCTCCTGTTTAACAACAAGATAATGTATTTCTTCCATTTACATTAAGTTGAGGATTTTTATTTTCTACATGCACTTAAGGTGAACTTAAGGTCTCTCTCCTGTATAAACCGATGTATGTCTCTTCATAAAAAGTTAGACGCAAATGATTTTCCACATGTAGTGCACTTATTGGGTGTCTCTCCTATATGAACCAATGCATGTGTCTTCATATTGTTTTTTTATGCAAAGAATCTTCCACATGTAAACTTGTAAGGTCTCTCTTCATATGAACCGATGAATGTCTCTTCAATCCGCCTTTGGTTGTAAAGGATTTTCCACATGTAGAGCACTTATAAGGTCTCTCTCCTGTATGAACCGATGAATGTCTCTTCAATGCGCCTTTGGTTGTAAAGGATTTTCCACATGAAGAGCACTTATAAGGTCTCTCTCCCGTATGAACCGATGAATGTATCTTCAATACGCCTTTGGTTGTAAAGGATTTTCCACATGAAGAGCACTTATAAGGTCTCTCTCCTGTATGAACCTGTCTAGTATGTGTCTTCATAACAGTATTAGACACAAAGAATTTTCCACATGTAGAGCACTTGTAAGATCTCTCTCCTGTATGAACCTGTCTAGTATGTGTCTTCATAACAGTATTAGACACAAAGAATTTTCCACATGTAGAGCACTTGTAAGATCTCTCTCCTGTATGAACCAATGAATGTCTCTTCATATCACTATTGGTTGCAAAGGCTTTTCCACAAGTAGAGCACTTGTAAGGTCTCTCCCCCGTATGAACTAATGAATGTCTTTTAATATAACTTTTCATTGTAAAGGATTTTTTACACGTAGTGCACTTATAAGGTTTCTCTCCTTTATGAATTAATTTATGTAATTTCATATAGCCTTTTGATGCAATGAATTTTCCACATGTAGTGCACTTGTATGGTATCTCTCTTGTATGAACCAATGAATGTAACTTCATTACGCCTTTGGTTGTAAAGGATTTTCCACATGTAGAGCAATTGTAAGGTCTCTCTTTTGTATGAACCAATAAATGTTTTTTCATATCACTTTTGGTTGTAAATGATTTTTCACATGATGTGCACTCATAAGGCCTCTCTCTTGTATGCACCATTGCAATATGTTTCTTCATACAACTTTTAAATGCAAAGAATTTTCCACATGTAATGCACTTATAAGGTCTCTCCCCCGTATGAACCTTTGTATGCTCCTTCATATTGCTTTTCGCTTTAAAGGATTTTCCGCATGTAGTACACTTGTAAGGTCTCTCGCCTGTATGAACCAATAAATGTTTTTTCATATCACCTTTCCTTGCGAAGGATTTTTGACATGTAGAGCACCTGTAAGGTCTCTCTCCTGTATGAACCATTGCAATATGTGTCTTCACGTGGCTTTTGGATGTAAAGGTTTTCCTACATACAATACACTCATAGGGACCCTTCCGAAAGTGTATCAACAAATGACTCTTAACTTGGTGTAGTAGGAAAAATGTTCTTTCACATGTCAAACATATAAAGGGACGTTCTCCAGTATGATATAACATATGAACTTTCATTGCAGATAGAGTTGAACAGCTTTGCTCACATATTGGACACTTGAGAGGAAAGTGTTTAGTGTGAGTTAACATATCTATTCTTGCAATTTTTATCTCTGTGAAATTCAACAGATAATTCTACTAATAACTAATCAGGAAAGTCAACACATCAGAGGGGTTTGTATGTATTTTAAATTGTAATCTTGTGTAGTAGGACTCATAATTGTATAGCAGATATATGATAGATTTCTCATTCAACATTGAATTTTCTTTTCTTCAAATCTAGCTCTGCATATTAGGTATTTTATAATATACTTGAGTGATTTTGTTTTTTCTCTTGTTTTTCTTTATTCTTCCATTATATTGTACTAAGTTCTTAAATTATTAGTATAATCTCTCGTTTCATTCCCTTTACTCTCTCAACCTAGAACAAAAATGTTCAATGTAATTTAAATTCTACTTCAACAAAAGGAATTACTGAATTTAATTTTTGTTGGGGAAACATAACATTTAGAGTGATTCTTCAAAATAATACATCAGGAATTATCTCATTTAGTTGTTTGTGCTTGAATTAGATTCCTTTTTTATGTCTGAACTCATCTGTGTCCACTTCCGAAAATGATCATACCTTATTATAAAAATGTATTAATCAGTTAAAACAGGTTTTTAACAATCAGTTCACAACATTCTAATAATTTCTACACACTCGATAACATCATAATGATCAAATATCAGGGTTTTGCTGCCATGGTCAAAATGTAAAATAAAATCCAGCTAATCAATACAAACACCTCAAATCTGAATATTGTCTAATCAGAAACACGTTTTGCAGAGAAAACTTTGCTGTGCAAATACAAGAAAAACTATATGTTCTTGAATATTTTTGTTTTAAGGGGATGGCAGCCTTATTTAATCTTGCATTTTCCCGTCTACATTGACTGTTTGGCTGTGGGCAACTGTGGAGGTAACCAAGCAAAGCAAGGTGTGAGCTGTACTCAGTACGAAGGTGGAGTGTAATGTAAAAATGTTTTGGCAGTGACCAGAATCCGAACCCACGTCATTGCTGCCTTGGGCCCAAATTATATGACGCTACCGGCTGAGCCACCAACTAAACTAACCAGGGTGTGTAGCCGACCAAGAAACTGAGAACTGTAATTATGACATCAAAAAAGTCGGTAAACTGTAGGTACCTAACTTAATTATGTTCATTTTTTATGGATCTGGGAAATTTTAAATAATCGCCAGCAGCCTATGGGCCAAGTGTCCATTGATTAGGCGCAGTTTCTTTGTTCTCTTTTAAGGTTTTTTAATGGTAAAAAGAAAGTATATCATGGAGACAGACAGATTACACACAGACAGATTACCATGGTCGTTGTGGGAGCTATAAGTAACCATTTTCAGACCAAAATACTACATACATTTTGTAAACACCTTTTTTCTTTTTCTTTATTGCTGGTTTGGTTTCAAGGTTACAAGATCAGTTGCCCAGATTGCCCATGCAAATAATATATAGGCCACATGGATTAGACATTTGAAACCCGCAACAAGGTACACCAACTCCAAAAATGATTTAACAAAAATCAGCCTTTGCCCAACACCTGGTCGACTCTATTGACTCAATGAGTAGCATTGACTAGGGCTTAGAAATTGTAGGGCCTACATATCTGTGGGAAAGGTAGCACACTTGACACCTTGGAGGAGTTTGAGGTTTATAAAATTCATAATGACAATTAGTGTAAGGAGCATCCTTAACGAAAAATTACAGTTCCGGTCTCACTCGACTTTCAATAAGATCCTAAACTCGAGAACAACAGTTTTTCCTTTTTGTTTTGTTATTACTTGATTCTGATTCTTTGTTTTTCACTCAAAATTATTGTATAATTAGCTTTAAGCAAGTCTTGTTTGTTATTGCACTGAATTGTACCAAATATCAAAATAAAGCTGTCCGTTGGAATGTAAAATAAAAATAAAAATAAATCAAATAAAATAGCTGGTCGAAGATCTGATATCATCAGTGATAGCAGTTTAAGAGGAGACGACGTGACGTAGACCTCCCTGCTAACAACCCTGCCCCGCGCCGGACTAAATCAGTATTATTATGATAGAGCTATCAAAATGTTTGTGTATTCGTGCCATTTTAATGTTTTTTAAGTTCGTGTAGTCCTTGTTTTGTTAATTGTGTTAATTGTTAATTATGTTTTTGACGAGTTGTAAGTTTGAAAAATGCTGTATTCGCAATATAACTTATAAGCTGATACTAATCACTAATGAGCAATACTAATCATTGGACTATTTTACGGAGGTATGTATTAACCTATCATTGTCTTATAATCTTTATACAGTATTGTAAAACTTGAAAGGGGAGTTGATGAAACGTAGCTCTTCCTTAGGTTAAGAGTACATTACACCTTTACTTCGAGCCCAATAGGTTTTGACCTTATTACATTAATTCACAACTAGTTTACACCTTGCTCGAAATTAAGCAATTGCAAAGAAGTGGTTATTTAAAAACAAATAAAAGTCATCATAATTTCTGATGTGTTTAAAAGACTCAATTCATAGATTACGTACCTAACAGTTCCATATAATCAAAATTTCTTGTAAATATTTTTTTTCATTTTTCAAAAGTTGATCTGGTTTTTTAAATTTTTCCCACTTATAGCCGTATTAAGTTGTCCATGTTAATCTTCGTCAATGATAATGTAGTCTGCATGGTACCCCCTGTTGTCGCCAGTACGTTTACAGATTTCAGTCAATTTTTTATAGCCCGATAACGTTTTGTTTGCATGACTAAGAACTACCTGATTTTCTGCATAACCTCTCTGTTGCAATTTTATTTGCATCAATTGGCATTCATTTGGCTAGTTACTGTTATATCGTAAATTATATTTACATGAAAAAATGCAGAATTGAAAGGCCTAATGGCGTTCAGATGTTTTTTTGTTTCCCTTAAATGTGAATAATAATGAGAATAATAATGTGAATAATGTGAATCCTTCAATGAAAGTTTTATTTAGGTTTCTTGGATGTAGTCACATTCTTTTAAAATCACTTGACTTTTATGAAAACATATATTTTATGATAAATGTCATTGCCGTACTAGTTTAATTCAGACTTAGAGGGGTTTCCTTTGCCAATAATCATAAAGTCCATGTTTCCTACAAAATAGTAGCACTTCGGCTAACATCCTTGTTCATTGTTTGTGGGAATCTTCACATTGTAGCTGTAGGTGTTCTTCATTATAAAGGTTGATAACGATGGAAAATTGTTTTTTTAAATCTCTATTTCTTCTACTTGGTGGCGTTCTATGACTTTGCTAAGTTTCCATGGTTAACAAATCGGTTCTTTCAATGATTTCTCAAGAAATACAGTAGGCCTACTATGTCAATTCATTTTTCTTATTTGGTAAAATATATCAAATTGCCCAGGCTTTCTCGATTTTTTACATTGTAATATGTACGAATGTAAATTGAAATAGTAAATATTTAATTTCAACAAAATCAGTAAATGTACCCAATGTGTTACTAAAAACTTCTTCAATAACCAACCTTTAAAATGATGTATAAAAATTTACTGTTTCTTTGCTTTTTCATTCTTTAATTTAAGTGTGTCTTTTGAAAACACCGATCGGCTAGTCTAATTGCATGTATAAAAACATGTATTTGCTTAAATGATTTGGCAACAGCTGCACTAAAAATCATGATTAAATGGAGTTTATTGTAGTTTTCAGAATCCTTGTAAATTTCCTAACAAGAATATTGAGGAACGAGGTGAAACCCGTCGAAATCGTATTGGTAGATATTTTGTAGTTAAACACTTCCGTGATTTCATCAGTTTAAGGTAGATTAATCTATGATTTTATTTGAAAAAAATCTGTTTGTTGGGAAGACACGTTCTAACTTCAAAGGGAGGTATATCTATTACAGTTTAAGTTTGATTTTTCTTTCGTCACGTTGCGTCAGTTCATATCGTACTTCTGTGCCAATGAATAACCCTCTAGCACAGTTTTGAGAAATTGGTTATGGGGTTACTGTTAAAGCTGGAATTCCTTGACATGGGGGATGTCAGTTAGTTGTCTCAGCCTTACCAATTACATAAAGTTGTCAATATAATCTCTCTACGGAATGTTAGGTGTAGTGGAATATACTTGAAGTGAAGTTGGCTTTTATTCTTGTACTGTTAGGGGCCTCCTCGTTTATGGTCGTGCGGCTTAATTGGCAACAAATAATGTAAATGACATAGCAATGTGGCATTTCCAAAAAGCAAATAATACTGTAAATTGGCTATTACGTAAATATTGACGTTTACATGCATTGTTAATCAACGTATCTTATCAAAGATTATGTGATCTAGTTTAAAAGCAATATGACATTTCTGTGATGACAGTAGCTGCATAAATAATAGTATTTACTCATTGGGCAATTTTTTACAACCAAAATTTCATGTTATTTTCTATAATGTTACCAACCCATAGTGGGCCACGGTCCGTAATATAGGCCACCAAAAATAATCTTTCAACAAAGGTACAATTTTAGGCAAGGTTTCTGTGTTTGGATGTTATCAGACATGGTAAGGGCACAATAAAATTCTTCTGCGGCAGATGAATTATCTGTTGGAGAAATATAAGCCGAATTATAAATGTCACAATGCGAGTTTGAGCATTTTGTAACTATATGAGTAAGTTACATGGATATTATTTAGGCTGCTGCTCAGTGCACTTTAAGAATATATTTTTTTGATATAAATTAAATGGTTTTTGTGGCCGAGTAGCGCTACTAAACATGCACGACCCGTTTCGTTAGTCTAATAACATTCCAAGGATCAAGTTGGAATGGATCCAAGGATCAACATTCAAGGATCTTATTTTTATACATATCTATATTATGTTTTCACTAAGCTGAATGAATACATCGAAAGTAACCTCTCTGAAAAGTCTGCAGTATATTGCAGTTTTCCAGCTTAATGACTTTCTAAATCATGTACATATTT